TACCACGCTAATGAGTAATGTCAAATATAGCAAAAGTGCTGAAATTATATCAGTGAATGAGTAACTTATATCACAATATGTCATTGTAAGGGTAAATAGCGAAAATTTTCAACATGTAAAATGCAGGAATAAATTGCGGAAAATTTATCCTAATTTTAACCCTATTGCTACCTAAATTGTCTGATAACTTATAATTATTACATGATTATTACCTATTCAGGTTTGAGAGCACCCTATATAAAGATACATTAAGGGCACCTTTTAAATAAAAAATTAATGCTTTCTTTTTTTTTTTTGACAATGCAATATATAGCACAGACATGTTTAAAAAACTACATTAAGGCCTACTTTCATCATAAAAAGGTTTACTTTGATTTGAAAGTCTCGCAAATGTAAACTTAGGTCTCGCAAATGCAATTTATATTCTCGCAAATAAAATTAATAGTCTCACAAATGCGGGTTTTAATCTAGTTGTAAAGGTTTTTTAAATTGAGCAATCGAAATAACGCCCAATTTTTCAACAAAGGAAATGTTTACCCTAATCACCCTTTTGTGTTCAGGGACAAAAGTGGCTTTCCGACTGTTTAAAATATTCTTACTGAAAACTATGTTTAAGTCAGTTTGGCATCAGCTTATTGGAAACTACTGAATTTATTAAGTTGCTGCGTCATTATGTTCAACGCTAAACTTTTGAAATATTTCACTCGTGACCCATAGCCGCGGCCCTTGTTAGGGCTGCCCCATAAATTGAAAACCCCTAAGTTAGGTGAAGTAAAATTGACATTTTTTATTTCTTAATATAAAAAAGATTTGATTTAGGTAAAAAGTTGGTTTCATTTTTATTGAAAGTTGATGAAATTTATAACAAAAAATAGTATTTTTTTTGGTATAATAAAATTTAGAAAACATGACATTCTAACAATCAATAACATCAAAACTTTCAAAAGTATATCGTGAGCTTTAAAATTAGATTAGATAGTCTGTTTTAAACTTTTTTTTTTATTTTTTAAAAAACCATGTTGTTTTCTTTATTCCAAGAAAACCTTTTCTAAGACTTTAAAAAATACAGAGAAAATGATTATTACACAGTATTTATTAATACCAGTTGAATCTCTATCAAAAAACAATCCATTTAAATTAAACTAAAAAATCGAAAACAAAAATAAACAACTGAACATATTCCGGAGAACAAAATTTTGCCATTTTGATAAAATAAACAAAAATGCAACAAAAAAATTCTTGCATTAAAAAAGGCCAAAATCTCGAATCGAATGTTTGTACTGTTTTGTCAGAACATAAAAATAAAAAGTTCGTACTTGCTAATACATAAATATATATATAACAAACGAACGTTTACAAACTTTTTGTATTTGTAATACCTATATTTACATGCTTTAAAAGCAACTTTCTAAATACCAATAAAGGTTTAAAATAGTTTTTTAAAAGGTAACAGTTTGAGGGTGAATAATGTGGTAAACAAAATAAACGGCGTTTAGAAACAAAAACATAGAAGGAAACGCAACTTTGGAGCAGTCGTCGATAAAGTGTGTATGATCAGTAAAAAATAAAAACGGCCCTAAGGCAATTCCTTTGCGCCCTGAAGATAAAAGATGATGTTTTGAATTCTTCTCAAGTTGGCGTTTCTGAAATAAATAAATATATATTATTTTAAAATATCTACAAAGTTTTATCACTATACACAGAATACCATGCGTAAACATGCATTAATTTTATATTAAGTATGAAAATATCTATTTGCAAACCTGTTTTAACCAGGGAGGGGACATTTTTGGATCTGTAATACCCACTATTGCAAATTCTACAAGTGCTCCAAATACAAATAACATGCAAATCATCATGTAGTAATCAAGACTACGTATGGTGTTGGCACTGGGAGCTGTTGATCGAATACTATTACTCATTGTAACGATCGTAAGGATAGTAGTAATACCTGTAATATATGTATGTATGTATGTGTGTGTGTGTGTATATATATATATATATATATATATATATATATATATATATATATATATATATATATATATATATATTTTTTTTTTTTATTGTAACGATCGTAAGGATAGTAGTAATACCTGTAATATATGTATGTATGTATGTGTGTGTGTGTGTGTGTATATATATATATATATATATATATATATATATATATATATATATATATATATATATATATATATATATATATATATATATATATATATTTTTTTTTTTTTTTTTTTTTTTTTTTTGTGTATTACATGTAAAAGACAGTTTCCTCTAAATGAAATTACCCGTGTACACAAAATAAATGTGAAAGAATACGTACGTCATTTTTATTCAGCGGTTATATTAAAATCTTTTTAATTGTTTTGTATTTTGTTTACAACGTGTTGTTTACAACGTGTTTTGGTTTCAAAAAAATGTATTAGTTTTTTGATTTAACTTAATATTACTTTTAAAAATGACAAAAGAAGAAGACATGAGAGAAAAAATTAGGCACAAATGTTTGGAAAATCCCAATAATAGCTACAATTCGATAGCAAAAGCGTTGCAAATACATCCATACACCGTTAGTTGTGTAAATTAACATTTTTCTCAAACAAAATCGATCAAACGTAAATCTGGTGGTGGAAGAAAAAAGGGTTTTAAAGATTAAAAAAACTAGTTAGAAAACTGGTTAACAGTTTAAAGACTAACCCGAGCCTTTCACTAAGGGCAAACATTTATAGACTTTCTCATACTTTTGTTGTAAAAGTTCGAAATAAACATAGTTTTCATTCTTTCAAAGCACAAAAAGTGCCCAGCCGATCTGAAACTCAACAAAAAAGTGCAAAAACCCGCTGCAAAAAGTTGTATGACAATTTTATTTCTAAAAATTTCTGTATTATTGAAAACGATGAAACTTATATTATAAGTACGATCATCAGCAAATTCGTGGTGCCGTCTATTATATTGCCAAATGTAGAGGAAAAGCAGATAAGAAATTTAAATACATAAAAAATGAAAAGTTTGCTAAAAAAAGTCTTGATTTGATAAGCTATTTGCAGTTATGGCAAAATCAGCACCTTATATTTCTTAGTCCACACTTTCGGGTCAAATATATGTTAAAGAGAGTTTACAAAAACGCCTTTTACCTCTCATTAAATCACACCTGTGTTCTGGCCAGATTTAGCTTCAAATCATTATTGTAAACTAGTTTTGGAATGGTATAAAAAAAATAATGCGAAATTTGTGCCTAAAACAGAAAATCCTTCTAACTGCCCAGAATTAAGAGTTATTGAAAAGTACTGGGCCATTATTAAAAGAAAAATGAAAAAAAAAACAAAAAAACTTTGCAGAAATAATAAAGACATTAAAATATCATTTAAAAAAGCATCAAATGGCTTCAATTCTTATTCTGTGCACAAGGTTATGGGTACCACCAAAGCAAAAGTTCGAAACTTTATTAGATTCCCACAGGAACAATTTGATTTTTTTTATATTTGACCTTCTTATATTATTGTATTAAAGTTATTACTTGGTTGGAAATCAAAATTGAAGAGTATTTTTTTAGTTGTTTTTCTACTTTCACATTTATTTCGTGTACACGCTCTAGTACTTTTAATCATCATATATTGATGATTAAAAAATATGCTTGACTTTTTATGATAGGTTTAAGAAAGATTAAACTGAGACCACATCAACTTCAGTAAAATGAACAGTAAAAAAACGCAGAATGTTTTAAGAAATTAATGTTTTAAAATAAGAAAGGTTTTAGTACAAGATTTATTGTATATATTTTTTTAACTGTAATAAAAATAAAAACTGCCAGTTATCAGCTTTTTAAGAAGAAATTTGTCGAAAATTTGTTTTAAAACCAAAATAAGAAATAATTTAAAAGTACAAAAACTTAGTATTTTAATAAATATAAAAAAAAAAATATTGATACTAATATTAATGAATTACAAATAAATTTTTATGATTTTTTTCCACATTACGTTTTAACAGGTTTTTTAATAACAATAACTAAGTAAAAAAAAAAAAAAATTTGGAGTTTAAATTTCTGAAAATTAAAAGATATTTGTTAGAGATAATTCGATGACTAAAGTTCAATTAAATATAAAAATAAAAAAAGATTTATAATCACTCTTTTAAAAATTAATAAACTGATGGAAAAAGAAAATTTTTAAAGTATTAACTAAAATAAGTAGTTTTAATGAAGTAGCCTCAACAACTATTAAAGAAAAAAACTTTTCAATACTTCAAATTACATACAAATGGATTAAAAACTAGTTTCAAATGAGATTTTAACTGGAGACCAATTGGTTTGAAAAAATCAAAAAAATATCAATTTAGAAAATGCTTTATATTTCAGAATCTTTTGTCCAAAAAATGATCAAAACCTGGGAGCATTCTCAATCAAAGAATGATTTCAAGCAAAAAAGTTCAACCTATCGCCTTGGTGCTTAGATGACCAATTAAAAAAACTAATTAAAAATATTTGGTCACAGATCAATTATCAATTTAGACATCACCAAATATAATCAACTATACACATAAAGCAACTTCAATAAGGACTGGTAATGATCAAATAAAAAGATGTGCCTACATCCTTCTAGTTGATTATGATTCACAAAAAAAAGTCTTAAAACTGAAACAGTTTCAAATTCGAAAATAAATAAAAAGGAAGATTGAAAATCCAACTGTTTATATTGAAAGTTAAAATTTTTAATATTGAAAGTTAAAATTTTTGACTTTCAGTATTAACAGTATAAATTTATTAAGGATATCATAACAAAAGTTAAGTCTCATTTAAATAAATAAAATATAAAATATGTATTGATACACTTGGAAGAAACTAAGAAAAAGGAAAAAAAAAGCATCAGACATCAGAGAAAACTTTGAAGCTCCTCAACATGCAGTTCTTTCCTGGAACAGAAATTTTTTTTCAAATACTAAAGAGGATTTGTCTAACAAACTTTTATTCTTTTTTAAAGCACTTTTCTATCATCAGATCTATCACCTAAAACAATATTTGTTTGGAATTCAAAACTTAAAATCTGGAGCAGCAGTCTCAAGAATGCATCTTCTTTTTTTTTGCATCAATAGAATGTAATTATTTACATCAATAGAATGAAGTTATTTACACCAATATAATGTAGTTGTTGATTTGAATATTTTATAAGGTTGGCTGCAAGAGCAGGTCCAACTATGTTTACAATGCATTTTTGCACCTTGCCTAAAAGAAAAAGGCTATCATTAGAAGATCCAGCCCAGATATGGCAACAGTATTCCATACTAGGCCAGATTTGAGATTTATAGAATAAAATCCAGAATAAGAAAGTGTCAAGCTCGATAAAGAGATGCAACCTTAGCAGATGTTAGTTTTGCAATGAATATCGAAACTTGCTGAGATATAACTACCACAAAATGTGAAAAATATACAATTTTATGTGAAAAAATAATTTTTATAAAATGCATTATATTTTTACCAAAAATGCTACATGTATATATATATATATATATATATATATATATATATATATATATATATATATATATATATATATATATATATATATATACACACTTATTAAAGTGTATTTTTATAAGCATTTGCTCACTTTTTTTGCTTACCTTAATCCATACGGCTTCTTTAGAAAAAGAAGAAAAAAAAGAAGAATGATGAATGAAATGATTGCTGCCCCATCCCAAACCCTCAGTCGATGTAGCAGCACTCCACTGCGAGTCAGGCTATTTGTCAGTCGATGTATGTACTGATGCCCTCGGCAGCAGGCTATTTCAGTATGACGTCAGATTGCTTACCTTAGTACGCAATACTATTTGTATTTGTATATGTATATATATATATATATATATATATATATATATATATATATATATATATATATATATATATATATATATATATATATACATATATTTATATATATATATTAAATTCAAATAAATAAATAATAAATCTAGTAAATAAACGTTTTATACAAAAAATGTTGTAATTTTAGAAAAGTACTAATCTAAAAAGAAATAAAAGGAACTTTTGCCAAAGTCAACAGAAATGAATTTAAACAAAACTGGAGGAAAAAGATATATGATAAATATACAAACAACAAAAGTTGCACAAGAAATGCAATAGAATACATGAAGAAACCAAATATTCCTGCATTTGGTCAAACATGCTATAAATATAATAAAAAGGACTATTGTACAAACTGCTGCAAATAAAAAAATGTACACAAAATTTGCACTATTGTATATCAAGTTGAACCTGTATCATCAGGTAAAACAAGTTGTAAAAAAGAAGCTTTGATAATCTTCAAAATCAACATCAAAATGAAACATGGAAAAATTGACACTGGTGCTGAATTAAAAACACTAATGTTATTATCACAAGTTTGCACAGTGGGCTAGAATCCCATATTTTTGGAAACCTTTTTTCCTTTCATCCATAGCACAGTGGGAACATTCCATTGAAATAGGTGGCCAAAAATATAATCATTGTATTTATGTGGATATTAAGCCTTAAATGATTAAAATAGAGACTTAATATAATATTTTTTAATTTTAATGGTTAACCAGCTATTAGGCACAGTAGGATGGGGGGCAGGGGAATCCACTTAAGCACTGGGGCACCAGTTCGATTTTTCATATTTAATACTTTTGGACATTGTTTAAATAATGGATAATTTTTCAATGTACAAAATCTTCATACTTGGTTCAAAATATATTAATTTGAAAAAAAATTGCGGTGATTCAAGCCCGGGATCAAAAATACCCCAAAAAGTTAGCCCCGCTTCACCCTGAATATGAGAGCAATAAGTTTAAAAACAGATTTTTGATGCTATTTTATACTAAACTCAAATTCATTGACAGGTTTTTGCTTTCATTAGATAATCTTTTATTTTCTGAAAGTTATGATCATATAAAGTTTACAAGCCCCTCATTTTG